CCCGCCACCTCCAGCGTTGCTTCCCCCAATCTTTCTAAGATCCTACTGTGACTACATCACTTCCGGCTTTAATACCCTTCATTCCACATATTGCGTTGATATACGATATCTGCGTTTCTCTTTCTGACTTAATTCACTCTGTATGACTTCTGTATATACAGCAGAAACTAACACAACATTGTAAAGCAACTATACTCCAATAAGAAAGATTTTAAATAAGTAAAATGAGAGCCAAAAAAATTTTTTCATAAATAAGTAAAAATGAGAGCAAAAACAAATAAAAGTTCTATATTATTTAAAGGAAAATGAAATAAGATCAAATAATTGAGTTTGAGGTCACTCATGCTTTACTGAAAGCTGAAATTAAAGAGCATGTATAAAATCTGGGAAAAAAAAAAAAAACACCCTTCGGTGACTTCCCATTTCTGTGCTGGACACTCAGGCTCCGTCTCACGGTGTCCACGGTCTCAGAGGCTTCTCTAGCCACATTTCCCCTCCCCGTTGCTCACACCGGGCCCCACAGCCATGCCGTGCTTGTTTAGGTCTTTGTGTGCTCCTGTTGATGCCTCCAGTCCTTTGCTCCTGCTGGCCCTCCTCCCGAACACACGTCTCACCCCATCACTTCTAAGCATCCCCCTGGTCTCGCCTTCAGCCTCCTTTCCCCAGGAAGGCTTCCTGGCCCCCCGAGGCTGGGCTCTGGGCCTCTTTTTTTTTTTTTTTTTTCTTGCGGTACGCGGGCCTCTCACTGTTGTGGCCTCTCCCGTTGCGGAGCACAGGCTCTGGACGCGCAGGCTCAGCGGCCGTGGCTCACGGGCCCAGTCTGGGCCTCTTTTGATGCTCCCCTGTGCTTCTCCTATTGTCCCTCTTCCCTCTCTGTTCCCAGGAGCTGGGTCTGTCCTGTTCACCTGGAGCCCAGCACAGCACTCCACAAGCACCTGCTGAATGAGTCGACAGAGGCCTCGGCCTCCAAATCAGTGTCTACTGGGACTCAGCCCCACAAGGCTGTCACTCTGTCCTTTGCAAACAGGTGAGGAAGGCCAGTGTCTGCTCCCACCTGAGACGCCACCAAACTCCAGAAGCAAGTGAAGCGAAGCATGTACTCTGAGCTAATTACCAGAGTGACCCCTCCCCCAGGGTGCTTGGTGGACATGGAGAGGGTCAGTCCCTCGGTGGGCACACTGCCGGCCTCTGCTTCCCTGGCAGTGCTGATGGACACCTCGGCCTCCCCAGCTGCTGCTGTTGCTGCCAAACCTTCTTCCATATGTGGACCCTGGGAACAAAGGCATCACTAGGGACCACGTCACTTGCCCATGCCCCCGATCAAGGTGGCTGTGGCTGGAGAACACTGACTGCCTGTGCCCCCCGGCAGCTTGCATTTCTGTAGCTTCTTTCCTCAAGGCACTTTGTTGTCTGTGATGTTACCCCAGCTCCACAACAGTCCCAGAATCCCTGTGGCAGGAGAGACTGCAAGTCACGCGTGTCTCCCACGTGATTCCAAGCATCTGTTTGCCACACCAGTGACTGGGAGATCAGTGCCTCCTGAGACACATATAGCTATGCCTCCTGCTACAGCGCTAGACACTTCAATCTAGGCCTGTGTTCCTCCGTGACCTCCCCTATGTGCGCATCCAGGAGCCATAAGAACAGGGCAAGTGTCTTCGTCCATGATGGTGCTTCAGAGGTACACAGGCGGCAACCCCGCCCTCCTCAGCCTTCTACAGACTGGACACCCCTCTCTTTCCCCGTGACTCAGTTTCCACCGGAAATTCACAGGCAGATTCTCTGAAGGTTACACAAGCAGATGCAGGAAATGGCAACAGAGAGCAGCTTTGGCTCTTGGTGTCACCAAACCAACTATGTTTTAATCTCAGTTTCACAAAGGTTTGTTTTTTAAAAAAAGTTGGGGTGGGGTTTTGCTTCGTTTTGCTGCAAAAAGTAGTTCTTTTGGGTTTTTTTTTGTTTTTCAGCCACACCTCATGGCTTGCGGGATTGACCAGGGATTGAACCCTGGCCCCGGCAGTGAAAGCCTGGAATCCCAACCACCAGGCCACCAGGGAACCCCCCAAAAATGTAGTTCTTTTGGATACTAAAAACACTAGGCTGATCAGAGTTAGACATATTTCTTTGCTGAAGGACTTCTCAGAGCCCCCTCTGTAAGAAGAATAAAGAGTGGATCATTCCCCAAACTTACTGGCCTATAGAACCATTTTTCCATATAACATCAAATCCTTACAGAATTATTGTCCCCCCAAAACAGAGAAAAGATGATGTCATAGGATTTTAAAATGAGATTTTTTTTCTGACTCAATGTCAGCTAAAGCCCCAAAGTACAATTCCATAAGCCTCAGGTAACCTCCATGTTCTAAAAAAAGGAGCCAGACGACTTACGTGGGACAGGCAAAGAGAATGAAATGGAATCAGTTCTATCAGCATTCACCCACCACCTGCCTTCGGCTATGTAAGAAAAGGTAAAGAATTCATTTAGGGGTTGAGTGCTTAGAGACTTTTGTAAGAATTCCTTTGGAGACAATTTTCTGCGTGCTGTGGCTCACCCCTGGCCCCCACCACAAACCATTTGGTGAGCTGGGTATGTAGTGTTTGGACTTTGGGAGGCAAAGGGAGTGGTGTTTGATTCCCTCTAGGGAAATACCAAAGGCAAAAGCAGGGAGCCATCCAGACTGAGTCAAGAGAAAGAGACAGAGATATCTGCTCTGCAGTTGTTTTCCTGGTGATTGACTGATATGACCCTTCCAAAGGGAGCCAGCTAAAGCCATCTGGAGATGGACTCCCACCCAAAGGGCCCCCTAGAGGATCAGGGTGACCAGCACGGGGTGGAAGCCCAGGCGGAAGTTAAAAGGCCAAAAATGGACTTGGGTCCTAGATTCCCTGCAGGAAGACCTCTAAGGAATCACAAAAGGCCCCGTGACAGAATGTTCCAGCAACCAGATATCTTCCCCACAAAAAGCCCAGATCACTGTCTGACCAGCCACATAAAATTGTGTCGTGGGGTTTCCCTGGTGGCGCAGTGGTTGAGAGTCCGCCTGCCGATGCAGGGGCTACTGGGACTCAGCCCCACAAGGCTGTCACTCTGTCCTTTGCAAACAGGTGAGGAAGGCCAGTGTCTGCTCCCACCTGAGACGCCACCAAACTCCAGAAGCAAGTGAAGCGAAGCATGTACTCTGAGCTAATTACCAGAGTGACCCCTCCCCCAGGGTGCTTGGTGGACATGGAGAGGGTCAGTCCCTCGGTGGGCACACTGCCGGCCTCTGCTTCCCTGGCAGTGCTGATGGACACCTCGGCCTCCCCAGCTGCTGCTGTTGCTGCCAAACCTTCTTCCATATGTGGACCCTGGGAACAAAGGCATCACTAGGGACCACGTCACTTGCCCATGCCCCCGATCAAGGTGGCTGTGGCTGGAGAACACTGACTGCCTGTGCCCCCCGGCAGCTTGCATTTCTGTAGCTTCTTTCCTCAAGGCACTTTGTTGTCTGTGATGTTACCCCAGCTCCACAACAGTCCCAGAATCCCTGTGGCAGGAGAGACTGCAAGTCACGCGTGTCTCCCACGTGATTCCAAGCATCTGTTTGCCACACCAGTGACTGGGAGATCAGTGCCTCCTGAGACACATATAGCTATGCCTCCTGCTACAGCGCTAGACACTTCAATCTAGGCCTGTGTTCCTCCGTGACCTCCCCTATGTGCGCATCCAGGAGCCATAAGAACAGGGCAAGTGTCTTCGTCCATGATGGTGCTTCAGAGGTACACACAGGCGGCAACCGCCCTCCTCAGCCTTCTACAGACTGGACACCCCTCTCTTTCCCCGTGACTCAGTTTCCACCGGAAATTCACAGGCAGATTCTCTGAAGGTTACACAAGCAGATGCAGGAAATGGCAACAGAGAGCAGCTTTGGCTCTTGGTGTCACCAAACCAACTATGTTTTAATCTCAGTTTCACAAAGGTTTGTTTTTTAAAAAAAGTTGGGGTGGGGTTTTGCTTCGTTTTGCTGCAAAAAGTAGTTCTTTTGGGTTTTTTTTTGTTTTTCAGCCACACCTCATGGCTTGCGGGATTGACCAGGGATTGAACCCTGGCCCCGGCAGTGAAAGCCTGGAATCCCAACCACCAGGCCACCAGGGAACCCCCCAAAAATGTAGTTCTTTTGGATACTAAAAACACTAGGCTGATCAGAGTTAGACATATTTCTTTGCTGAAGGACTTCTCAGAGCCCCCTCTGTAAGAAGAATAAAGAGTGGATCATTCCCCAAACTTACTGGCCTATAGAACCATTTTTCCATATAACATCAAATCCTTACAGAATTATTGTCCCCCCAAAACAGAGAAAAGATGATGTCATAGGATTTTAAAATGAGATTTTTTTTCTGACTCAATGTCAGCTAAAGCCCCAAAGTACAATTCCATAAGCCTCAGGTAACCTCCATGTTCTAAAAAAAGGAGCCAGACGACTTACGTGGGACAGGCAAAGAGAATGAAATGGAATCAGTTCTATCAGCATTCACCCACCACCTGCCTTCGGCTATGTAAGAAAAGGTAAAGAATTCATTTAGGGGTTGAGTGCTTAGAGACTTTTGTAAGAATTCCTTTGGAGACAATTTTCTGCGTGCTGTGGCTCACCCCTGGCCCCCACCACAAACCATTTGGTGAGCTGGGTATGTAGTGTTTGGACTTTGGGAGGCAAAGGGAGTGGTGTTTGATTCCCTCTAGGGAAATACCAAAGGCAAAAGCAGGGAGCCATCCAGACTGAGTCAAGAGAAAGAGACAGAGATATCTGCTCTGCAGTTGTTTTCCTGGTGATTGACTGATATGACCCTTCCAAAGGGAGCCAGCTAAAGCCATCTGGAGATGGACTCCCACCCAAAGGGCCCCCTAGAGGATCAGGGTGACCAGCACGGGGTGGAAGCCCAGGCGGAAGTTAAAAGGCCAAAAATGGACTTGGGTCCTAGATTCCCTGCAGGAAGACCTCTAAGGAATCACAAAAGGCCCCGTGACAGAATGTTCCAGCAACCAGATATCTTCCCCACAAAAAGCCCAGATCACTGTCTGACCAGCCACATAAAATTGTGTCGTGGGGTTTCCCTGGTGGCGCAGTGGTTGAGAGTCCGCCTGCCGATGCAGGGGACACGGGTTCGTGCCCCGGTCCAGGAGGATCCCACATGCTGCGGAGCGGCTGGGCCCGTGAGCCATGGCCGCTGAGCCTGCGCGTCCGGAGCCTGTGC